CTGCCAGTGACTCATCGACCAGGTGATGGCGCCGAATTTTGGCTTTTCGTCCTGTCACTTTGGTGGTAAAACACCTCCGTCACAAGAAGGTAGCGAGTAGGGTCCGCCCAGCAGAGGCTACTCAAGACGCTTGTTTGTATGGGAGCATTTCGTGAGGTGCAAGGGTTCGTTCATATGACCCTTGATCTTATTATAGCTCCATGGGGCGAGTTTGTTTTCTACCTTTTGGTTGTTCATTTGACATGAGATCCGACAACAGCGAAGCAACTCGCCCTCAAAAGCCGGGTGACGATGGTTGGATTCGAACGCCGAAATGATGCCGAAAGTGAACGCTGGCTTCATCCCGTGTATGTGAATGGAGTTCAACTGACATGAATGCGAATGTGAAAGTCGAATGAAAGCCGTCTACAAAAATCAAGTCCTGGGATGGCAACTAACTGAAATTTGGGGCTGATAAATTTAAGTCTGGGTGGTTAGTTGGACTGGTGTGTGCTTTGTTCCGGCGGAGGTTGGGTCTCTTTGATCGAGAGTAGGCTACAGTGATTGAGCAAATTATCATACCTCGCAAACGGTGCGGTAATTAACATTTCAGTAGGGTGGGCCAACTGAGTTAGTGATGGAATAATGACCTACGTATGCATTTTCTAGGGCCACCATAGCCGGCTTTATTCTAAAAGATATCGCGAAACCTATCCAACAGACTTCCCTGGGAGGTGAAACCTATCGAGAATAGAGGTGATTGGACGAACACCCAATGCGATAAAACCGGAGGAGTGATGTCTGAATAGTGGATCTGAATAATGTTGGTGGCACGATTCAGTACCGTGTGTCACCATATTGTCGGAGACTGTACATGAATAACGGAAACCTGGATCTAGGTTGTAGCACTTAACCAGCGACGCCGTGATCTGTATAGAAAAGAGTCCATAAAACATGAATACATCTGAGCATCCGTTTATTAGTAATCTCGCCTTCAATAACCGACACTCAGACGAGGTTACCCAATAACCACAAATCAATGAAAGCAAACGCATCGAGTCCCTTATCTGTTTCACTCACTCTTCTCTACAGTCGTTTACGGCTGATTTTACGGATAGATAAGTGTCCGAATAGTCGATCACTGATTAAATTACGAGAGGAATACAAGTTGAGGGCTATGACTGTGGGGGCATGAGAATGTGACCACAACTGCGGAACTGTTTGATTTTACTTTTGCTCTTATCAAACTTGGATTCGTTCGAGAATGTCATGGTCAATATTTCCATATATTTTTCAAATAGAAAAACGTGATAAAAAACAAAAACAGTAATATGATTTTATCACACAAAAATCAGATTTCAATTCAAAAGTAGCTGAGACCAAGTACACATTAACCGGTAGGATGAAGTGCGTTTCATTTTTGAGGGTCTATTTCGCGGAAAACTAAATCATGTTTATTTGAACATCAAGCGTTAGTGAAAAAAATTCAAAAAACTCCGATCGTCACAAGTTATCCATTGGCTACTTCCAATAGAAACCAAAATTCCGCGAAATTTAGTACCCGAATTACTGGAAAACTAGTTTAACTGAATTGATCGGTCACCCAGTTTTGTTTGTTTTCACCTCTTGGCACTACAGTTTTCTTGGCCCCAGAATACCGAATCGAACTGAAGGTGTTCTGTTTTGTGTACATTGCAAAACATGGGAATCTTACAAAAAAGGAACCTATTAAGCAAGTGAGATTCAGTGTCCTGGGAAGCAAGTGAATTAAATTCGATTTCCTGTTATAATGAGAGAACGGCTTTTCGGTTTCGTGATCCGATGAACTGGACACCGGCCCCCAATGGATTGCGGTTTTCGCACACCGCCCCGCTGTCTTGTGGGTCAGGCTTTGGCTAGCCGAAGGCTCCGCTTGTGAATTCCTCAAGAAAATGTAAGTGCTTTGGACTGTGTAACCTGGCAGTATTCGATCCACGTGTAAATCATCGAACGTTTTTCTTTTCATAAGGATTATCGTACCATGATTTGTTTGGCACACATGCCGGCCTCAGACGGGTGTGAAATATAACCACCAATTCGAAATAGCTGATTTGTGGAAAGTGGCAGGTTTACTAATCTTATATCAAAATGTGATATACAAAGAATGGAAAAAGGACGTCGATCAAACGCATCCGAAGGTAAGAATTAGGCAGATTCCGAGATCCTTGACCAACAAATTAAAACAAGTACAAACCAAACCCATTATTTGAGGTATTCGGATCAAATTATTGTTACCATACCTTTAACCTTCATTGAATTACAAATCACATCGACAAACCATTCCAAAGCAAGCTTTACGCTGGCATGCGTAATACGTACTCTGGACATGACAATCTGTGGATCTTCTCAAGGAATCGTCTGTTCCCTGCTATCCATTAGGATCTAGCAACCATCAGCATTACGTAGACAACAAGAGTCGCTTATCGTTCTCTGAATAGATAGCTACTTCCACTTTACCAACTAGTTTTTCCCAGTTATTTTTTACAATCCCTTTCAGGGCATTATATGAACAGAAGTCGTACACCATGCAGTTACTTTACGGTCCTGTTTGATGGGATCTGACGATTTCTCGCGATCAGTACTGCTGAACCCAAAGAGATTAACTGTCATGGACAAGGCAAGTACTAAGATCCGCAAATCCAATTCACCAACGAATGCGCCACACGCATAATCTTAACTCATTATTAGACTAACTAGTCGTATTGCAAGGATCTTATGTCATAATTTGGTTGCTTATCACAGCAAATGCAAATAGGCGAGTCAGCCAGGGGATAAAAGGTAGACCGATTTTATCTTCTTGCCGGCGATCGAAGCGTTGACCGCATCAAAATCAGTGCATGATCAGACTAAACGCGTTGGTCCAAACGGACCTACAGTTTCGTGGTGAATCACATCAACCGTTGTAATAAGGCTAGACCAGATGAGCTTAGCGGCTGAACTGAAACAACTTGTCACGGTCCACCAAGGATTGGTTCTATAGGTCAAACATACTAGACAGTTCACAACAGGGTGATCTAGGCTAAAGATAAATGATCGCTTGTAGCACAACGGTAACAGACAAATATTTACACGGGGAAATAAAGCTATGACTAATCATTCAAGGCGTACAGTGATTTCATCTAGCAGTGAACACTCAGCCTTGAAGTCAGAACAGGGTTTGAGAAAGAAAGTGCTCCGAAGAGCACAAGATGACAATCAGAGTGAGACCACGGACGATTCACAGTTTAATAATAATAATAAAGAAGGAATAACGTGCGTGGTCAGGAACCTGTAAACTCTATCTACAAGTAGACCGACCGAGCAGCGACTGTTCTAAACAGACAATAACCAGCTGTTTTTGTTTCGCACAACAGGCTGTGGTAACAAACAATTCTGGCGTTTAGTAATTGATGGTTTGTGTGTGTGTGAGAGAGAGAGAGAGGGCGACTGACGAGAACAGGTGCGGTCTGACGCATTCAACTGAGAACAGAACAGAACAGAACACGCCACTCAGATCCTGCTCCCATGGTTGATCATTCAACGGATAAAAAACGTGAGCGAAAAGTGACACAACACACAAATGTAGGCATACCAACTAACCGAATGACCTGAGGATTGTGAGAATTCACGAATTCACGCTTCGTTTCGCTTCACATCACTTCACTTCACTACATAAACCACAATGAACTCAGGAGTAGACTGAATCGAACCATGAATAAATTATGCACAGCAATGCGCAACGGAGACAATAAAATGTGCGATCAAAAATCAGGGTGGGAAAGTCCTATTCTGTTGTATTACACCAACAAGTGTCCAGGGATGAGAGGAATCGATCAAACATATTTGGTAACCGTTGTGCTTTCGAGAATGAGCTTCACTATTGATGAAATAATACAAAAATTAACATGCATTATCAACAATGCCAGTTAGTTTTTTTAAGGATAAAGTGGAATGACCACCTGGCAAAGGTTCTCCGCACCAAAGCAGCCCACAGATCTGCACACCGCGCTGATGTAGCGAATTTGGATCTCACTAAATATGGCCATGGCCCCCTTTTCATGTTTCATTGAACGGACCAAGTTCCCCAGAACAGGCGAAGAAATCATGTAAACAACCGTCGGTTCCTTTGAAGTGACAGGGTTACCTTGCCCTTTGCATCCAAGAGCAAGGGCAATCAAGTGGTGTAAAAGCCGGCAACACACAACCACAAACGTTCATAGACTACGTAGCCTGAATTTTACACACCCATCGACCACCAGCATGAGATGGATAATAAGTTACAAAAAGGAAAGCAGAGCAACCTGCAGAATAAGCCTCGTAGATACGGTCGACTTGGAAAGTTGGAGTCTAACGGGTTATATAAGTGATAATTGTGAACATTAAGCGAAATGAAGAGTTTTCGCAAACGGCGACGCGCACAAATGCAATTATATTCGTCAGTAATTCCTATTTGCCAACGCATATTTTGGTAAAAATTCTATTCAGTTAGTTAGAAAGTGACTTATTGTGGTGGAAGGCAATAGGCGAATGGGGAGAACAAACTGATTGGAAGAAAAACGAAATTTGTGTCACGAGGCACACAAATAGCATACGGATGCAATAATGGAGGTAAAGGAGACGACTACAATTCGGTACACTAACTCTTAAGACAAAGATGGGATCATCACAAAGTCACTGATCAACGTATAGTTCGAGTCAATCCAGTAGAAACAGCACACGGATGAAGCGGCGTGCTACTCTCCAACCTTTGAGATGAAGCAACAATACGAATCGTGTGCTGTTCTGTGGTGAGGTCGAGAAGTAGCTGTGCACAGTCGAGGGCTCGCGTAGCTTGCTTTCAAATGTGATCGATATATGCTTGCCCATCGGCTGAACTTCTCTTTCATAACCCAACCAAGCCAATCAAGTGAAGTTGTCTTGAACGAGCGGCTTCGTTGACGGCGATTTGCGAAAGTGGATTTAACAAGCTGGGTCAATAGTGGCTCGTAGTGTGCTGCAAAGAGAGTGAGCACTTGATCGGGGCCTGGGGAATGCTCCTTTCCTGGAGAGTGGAAGCTGATTACGGTCCAAGCATGAACAGGAGTTGACCCAAAAAAGTTGACGAGTTGAAAGTGATGCTAATGAAGAAACTCACCCAAGAGGGCAAAGTGTAAAGGCAATAGGTATGATACTGTGTGCAATGGGTAATTATTTCTTTCTTTTTCTTTTTTCTTTTACTTCCTTTTATTGAATATATGATGATACAATTTTAAGGGGGAACCGGTCAATCAAAGGACTGCCATTCAACACACAATAGGGAGAATTAGACGAGGGTGATGGGCCTCGAACAAACGAGATAATTTTGGTGACGTTACCATCGAGTCACCAAGGCCCAATGTTCGGCTAAATACAGGGCAGAAGATCCACTATATTATGACCATTTATGTTCNGTAGAATTAACTAAGAACCAAACACAAGGACTGCTCGAAGTCGCTAAGATTGACGTGCCTGAGGCTTCAGATCCGAACTCCAAATATGATTTCATAAGTAGGGACATCCTACCCAGTAAAGGTAACATTTATGCAGTTCGTGATGTGTATATATATATATATATCCTGCCTGGTGGCTGGACACCCCAGCAGTACTCGTTCATCAAACCCCAGTGTATATGCATTGCGAGTTTGGCAGCGATCAGTGAAGTTCGCTTCTCTGAATTTCCCGGTATATATATATATATAGCGAACAAGCTTGTTTTCGTAACTGCTTTCGGGCAAGTATAGTTATGTGCGTTTATAAGGCAGGAATGACATTACGACCGGTGTGTTAAATATTCGAGACTCTACCTTTCACTCCATTGCTCACTGGTTAGCAAGAATGCCAGACGAGATCAGGAATAAAATCTGGAAACTTAATTTCGAGTTTGTCCATCTACTTCGAGACGTGGACGTTAAATGCCTAACAGTGAGCTCGCTGGACATAAAATCACTTTTTACAAATGTGCCGCTCTTTGAGACAGCGTCTTATCTCTGGCAGTACATCGATGAGGAAAACATACAAATTGGAATTCCAAACCGCAAATCCGAAAGAACTATAATTGCAATGTACACCGAATATATAAGTTTCTTTAGACGGTACGATTTACAANCCACTTAGCCCAATTCTGGCAGATGTGATAGTTGTTTGAGTGGAAAACAACGAAATACGAGATATTACTCATCAACTCCCACTACATTGCTGTTATGTCGACGATATTTTTATCCTTTCCAATCAAAGCATTTTACGGAACAAAATACTGGATCATTTTAACCGAACTCGTCCGTCAATCAGTTTTACAACCGAAACAGAAGATCGGGACACATTTCATTTCCTCAACGTTAACCTCAAGAAGGGACCCAATGGAATGTTATGACGTTTGACTTTCGCTAGCCACCATGGAACGGCCAATGCATTTATTTCCAAAGTTTCGTTCCAATTGTTTTCAGTTTCAGTTTGAACAACCATTAACCACGCATATTCGTGCGCCGGTTTTGGTTACTATCTTTTGGCTGGCCATTTGGATGAAGAATAGGAGAAGAAAGAAAAGTTGAGATTGGAGTCGAAAAGAAAATGGAGAAGTTCAGTGGTTTAAGGCTGCAGAAAAATTGAGGAGATGCACGCACGCCACTGTTTACGACACCCAGACATATCACTCAGTGTCTCTAACCATCGGTTACGATCATCCCTAGGTCCCCAGCCAGGGAGCCTAACAGGACCTATGTGACCCAGACTCCTGGTCAGGGTTTTCATACCCTCGTGCCAGGTCTTAACTTGACCACCCTTAGCTTTTTTCCACTCGGTGTCTGCTTCGGTGAACATCGCTCGCCGTGGTAACTGTTAGGACGGAGCCTAAGAAACCCGTCCGATCGCGCACGCCTCCGAGTCAGGCCACACGCACGCTCGCAACGCTCCAGACAGGCTGAACCTGATTGGATAATCACAGAACGTGTCAGCCAATGTTTGTCCAATCGATCAATCGATATGTCAAGGACACTATCTGATTGGTGCGTCACTGCGCCGTCCTCGCATGCACGATTAGTCCTATATTTCTTTGACACATCTTTTATTTTATCTTTTGGCATAACTTATCGAAGAATACACGCTGACTGTGTCCAAACCTGTGTTCTCTCTCCGCGTTGTCGTTGGGGTTAAGCAGGAGTCGCTCGTGTCATTCGTACGCCTAGATCAAACACAACAACTGGCGACGGGAAAATTTACGGATCCACAATGTCAATCACGCCGAGGCAGTTACAAGCAATTCTCAACCAGCAACAGGCACAATTCGAGGCCGCGCACCTAAGGATGATGGAGACCACGTTACAACGTCTCAGCAC